GTGAGACTGGAACTCCAGGCCCGGGAGGTTGTGTGTTGGTGTTGGTGGTGGTGTGTCTGTGTTTGCACGCACGTGGGCTAATTTTTCTAAAAAGGCTGAAAATATTTACAGGTTTGGAGTTGAAACGCAAACAGGAAAAGCCCTTTAAAAAGTGAGTGTAGTGGATATTCAAAACAGGAATCACCATGGAAACACCACAATATTTGCTTAAATTGACACAAAGGTTGCCGGTAGCAGGGCAAACCTACCAAGTTTCTTTGGCCACTTTTTTCTGGCCCAACACTTATATCACAAATGATATGCCCCCCTTTGGGGGGGCATGTGCGTGTACCCTCTTTTCTTTTTTTTATGAGATGTAAGGGCACAGAGCCAGCATGGGGAGGGGAAAAGAAAGAGAAGAGGCCAAACTCACCATCGTAGTAGCTGTAGAGACACCTGCTTATTCCATTTTTAGAGACTCCCATAAGGCCACTGTGGGGGTCAGGGGAGCAGCTGGGAGATAGCCGAGGGGAAGTCTGAAGGGCGCAAGAGACTGGAGAGGCCAAGGGTTGGTTTGGTTGTGTGGGTCTGATCTGGTTTCCAGTGTCAGCTTGATTCATTGTCAGGCTGACCTTTCACCCCCGGTGCCGAGTCTAGGGTGTGGTCACTCTGTTGTTACCTGGGGTGGCACCTGATTGGCCTATTTTCATTTCTACCCATTTGATTATTTCATTAGGTGGGACAACCTTGTAGCAGTTGGCTAATAATCGTGCAAAGGGTACATTGGTTGTATGGTCAGGCATGGCATGCACCATGGTGTTGCCATCTGCCGATTGCTAGGTAAGGCCTGAGAATCTCTTACCTTCTTGGCCAGTTGCCGTGCAAGGTGTCTGAACCTTACCCTCTATTGTCCTTCTCTCTGAATAGCTCTGTAGGTCTCAACAGTAGCCAAATAAACCTGTTTTCCTTTCTCCTTTTGGTAGGCAAACAGACCTCGCTGAGTGAAGGCGAAGACCATCCATCTTACCTGCCTTTCCTGCTGTCTCGGCGTCGGCCCTTCCTATAGAAGGGGGTCCTGCTGCTCCCGTGGTGTGTGTGGGAATGGACTTCGGACCCCAGGTTCTTGGGATGCAAAGGTAACCACTCCCAAGATTCCCAAGATGTCACTGAGGAATGTGGGTGGGAGTGTCATTGGCCAGGCCAGGGTTTCCTTCTTAGGGGAGCTACTACATCGGCCTTTCTCAGTGGTGGTAGCTTAGCTCCCCTAAGCAAAACTGAGAATGTGCAGGTTTGAGAAAAGAGCCAGGGCCTAGGAATCTGCATTTTGGCCCTGGCTCTACTTCATCTCACTGCTTTTTCCCCTCTGGACCTCTGTTTCCCCACGAGGAAAATAAAGAGGTGGGACTCACTGACCTTGAAGAATCCTCCTAGCATCACCACTGTATGACATTGGGTGGTGCCAGCAGCATGCAGATACTCCAGTTGAGGCCTGTGGCAAACTTGGCTGGAGCCACCTGATGGGTCATTTCTGAACATCATCTCTGGGAACAGTAGGTCCAACCCCTCTATGTATCCAGCAGCTCCGGCTCTGCTCTGAGCTCAGGTGTCACTTGTTGGGGTTTCTTGGTGGCCCTCCAGCCCAGGCAGGACCCACCTTAGAGAAGAGGACACAGGTATCTTTTGACCCTGGCTCAGAAGTTAGCCCCATGTTTAAGACAGTTACTTACACCTGGGATGGGTAGCCTATGGGGCCGGTACTGTCAGATATTTGCCTGCAGGTGTCAAATGTGGCAGATCACAAGGTGGATGTATGAGTGTGTGCTCAGTCATGTCCGACTCTTTGCAACCCCATGGGCTGCCAGGCTCCTCTGTCCATGGAATTTTCCAGGCAAGAATACTGGAATGGGTTGCCATTTCCTTCTCTAGGAGGTCTTCCTGATCCAGGAATCCAACCCGTGTCTCTTGAGTCTTCTGCATTGGCAGGCGGATGCTTTACCACTACACCACCTGGGACGCCTGTAGCAGGGAGGGTTGATACAAAACAGGTAACTTACTACATATTGATCATTAGTCAGTATTCTCTTACGATCCAAAGGGACCAGCCCAGAGGGCTTGGGTTGATAAAGTTGGTGGACAGCATCTTAGGGTGTGGGGCTGAGACTGAGGCCCTGGAGCGTGGCTGGGAAGGCAGGCCTGGGGGCTGCTCCTCCTGTGTGTGCCAGACTGGAGGCGGCAGCCCCGACTCACCCACCTGTGCTCTGGTTGTAGGGTCAGGCATGGCAGGCACCACGGGCGCCAAGGGCAGGCGTGTCCCGCCCCTCCCTCCAGTGGCCAAGTGCTGCAACTCTAGACTTTGAACTTGCAGGGAGGAGGTACTTACAGAGAAGGGTGCCTTGGTGCTCCTTGAGGTTTAAGTGGTCTGCAGAGCTGCAGGCCTGGTCATTTTGGGTCATGCCACCTTGGGAAGCAGAAGAAGCCATGGATAAGGGCTAGAGATTTGAAGATCAGCTGTAAGCATGGCCTTTGGTTGCTGTGGTGGAGTAACTGTGTGGCTGAGACTCATCTTCCCAGTGTCCAGGAACTGGTTCATCCACATTGAGGATGTGCAGCTGTTTTCCCCTGATGGCAATGAGTCTGCGTAGACTGGTGGCTGTGCAGTCGTCCAGTTGGGTCAGCACCAACTCCTCTACGACTCTGCTCCTTTCCTGGGCTTTTCTTGTCCAACTCTGCTTCCTTGATGTTCATGGGTCTTGGATGACAAGCCCAGGCATCCTCAAGCCTGTGGATGGTCTCCCCAGCTGCCTGTGCCCTGCATGTGAGCAAGTTGCCAGCGTGTCTGTGGAGCCCCTTTTCCAGGGGGCAGTGTTTGGTGGTTCTGTCCTCAGTGGCAGGCTTTTTGTTTTCTTCTTTCCTTCGGCAAAACATGCCCATTAGTTTTTCCCTTTCTGAAGTTTCCACTCATTGTTGACTCCCAGGGGCCACGCCAGCTGGGATTTGTACCCGGCATAGGGCATGGGCTCTGTAAGTCCTCGGGGACTCCTACATCCTGGCATCGGCCGTCTTGGCCCTGGTAGTGAAGCTTGGGAACTCAGAGGGCTCCTAGTGGGAATGTTGTGGCCGAGCCCCTCCTCACTCACCCAGCCCTTTGGCCACAGTCTGGGGTCCTCTGTAGTCTGAGTGATCTGAGATCTCAGAGGTGTCCTGCCTCACCACACAAGAGTGTGGGCTTGGGGCAAGTCTGTGCTCAGGTCTGGTCTGCAGACCTGATCCTGTCTGACTCAGATTCTCCCCACTTTTGGCTGTGCCACAGAAGATCTTGTTATGTTTATTCAACACTTATGGAGGGCCTGGTATCTTCTGATCATTAGGGATAGAGTGACAAGACAGTCCAGCTCTCGTGGAGTTCTGGTTGGGTAAGCGGACAACAGATAAACCCACCCCAAAAGAATGACAAGGAAATCTTCGGTGCGGAATGGAAATAGGATGAGGTGGTAGAAAGTGACTGGGCAGTCCAGGAGCCTCCTTTGAGGAGATGATGGTTAGCTGAGATGGAGGAATTGAAAGTGGAAACCCATCCTAAGAGGGGTGGAATATTTTCAGCAGGAGAGAAATAGTCTAGAGGAACTGAGGCTGAGAGCTCAAGGTGCTTGGTGGACAGAAAGAGGCCCCAGTGCTGGGAGTGGACAGGGCTAGGCCAGGGCTTGTAGGGTGTGTTATGCCAAGGGAAGTTGGGGCTTTATTTTTTGGGTGATGGGGGAGCCGCTAGAGTGTTTAAAACAGGGAGGTGAAGTGATGTGATTTTGTTTTAAGAAGGCTGGGGCTGCTATGGTGAGCATGGATTGAGGGGGCAAGGGCAGAAACCAGGGAGGGAGGCTGCTGCAGCCCCTGTAGTGAGAGGTTGATTCAGCCAACCAGGTTACATTCTGGGAGGGGGCTTTTGCTGATTTTAGGAACCAAGTGGAACCTTTCTCTTTCCTCTGGGAACATCCCACAGACAGATTTTATTGTTGTTCTTACTCCTTTCCTCCATTTGACATCAGCTGCAAGTGACTGAGACAGAAGGGGGAAATGGAGAAAAGAGGGCAGAGGTCCTGTGTGTTTATAGGGGGAGTGAACTGGCCTTGCTGGTGGATTGATCAGGGACAGAAAAGACAAGATCTCAGGTTGGCTCTGGCATTCCAGGCCCCTGATGTGCAGCTCTACATCTCCTCTCTCTCATGTCCCCACCTGGCAGTGCCAGGGGGAGAAGCACCGCTCTGGGCACTGGGCTGGTTGCTAGGAAAGCTTGGTGGAGTGTGTTAGCACCCTTGGGTCATCACCATGTGGGGGGAAGGCCTGAGGCCTGCTTATATCCAGTGCCGATTTTAGCAGAGATATCCCAGCTCACTGTCCTTGTGGCCTTAAGATTTTGCATGGAAGCCTGTTTTGTGCCTTTGCTCCATGGATTCTTCACTGGGTCTGAGGTTGGGCCTAGAAACTTGTATAAGTCCTCTCACTGTGGCTTTAAATGTTATTTCTGCACCTGGATACAAAGAACCTCAGTTGATCAGCTTTGAGAGCTGAGAAATGGGTTTGTCTAAGACTCCCTCATTTCCAGAAATGGCCAGTTTAGTCTCCAGCCCCACCTCACGGATAGAGATCCTAGCTGTCTTTCCACGTGGAAAGTCTTTCCACAATTCACAGTGTGAATTGCTGTATTTCCTTCCTTAGGCTTGACCTAGACCACTGTGCCTTTTTCCAGGGTCCCTGATGTGAGGCCCCACTCTCCTGGGCCTGGAATCATCTCCTTGGGTCAGGACAGGACAGTCAGTCCCAGCAGTGATGCTGTAATAGCCAAACCATCTACAAGCCCCCTAAGTGGGTGCTGTGTAGCCCAGACAGCAGCCAGAGGCCTGGCTGGAGCGAGTGTGAAGTTGTCACAGCCAACCGCGGGGGCCCCAGTGAGGACTCGCCCGTGCTGGCAACATATTCCCAGCCATATGGGCTGGCTCAGCCCTCCAGGAACGCTCTGGAGGCCTGACCTCCAGGGGGAGTGACAGGAGAGAGCAGAAGGGGGGGCTGGCGACACGGTCTTGCAGCGGGTGATGGGGATGTCCCAGGCGTGCAGCTGGTGCCTCCGGCTCCTAGGGGGTGTCAGCCAATCTTCCCGGGTGTGTCTGCCGACATCAAAACACCGGGCTGAGCCCTGGGGGCGGGTGCGTCTGGGTGGGCAGCCATGTGTGTCTGTGCATGCGTGGGAGGCTCTTCTGCTTTCTGCCTCTGTGGCCTGCACTAGATCCATGGCCTTCACTCATAACTGGACTGGACAGTTCTAACTCCGTCCTCCAGGGCTTTGATCTGATGTGGGGCCGGCCACTCCAGAGCCTGCAGCTGGGGTGGGAGTGTGGAGGGGTGGGATCAAGAGAGGGAGGTGCTGACTGAGGGGAGTGGGGGCCATGTCCTCCACCTGTTCCCCCCATCCCCCAGGTGGCAGCCTGGATGAGTGGACTCTGAGGTCACAACACCGTGGCGCTGGGCAGAGACGTGATGGGGAGATGGTTTAGGAAGAGTTACTGAGTGTTCTGGCTTCTAATCTGTGCTAGGATTCTGCTCGGTGTTGCCGACACCCTCACCTTGCGCCTCCTTCCCCAGTTGTCCCTCCTAGCGGGGTTGGAAGCCCCTGGGTTCCACCAGGCACTGACCCAAAGGAAGAGGGATAGGACAGGGCTGTCAGTGCCTGACTGCCAGGACCTACCCAGAGAGATCTGCTCACTCCAAAAGGGACAATGAGCAGCCCATGGTTTGGTGGGTTGATGTCTTGTGGATGAGAGGAGGACACTTCCACCCTACCTCTGTCCTGTCACCTTGGAGCCTCCATGGGTTGAACACAGTGGCATTGGAGAAGCAACAGTGGGTTTTGCACCCAAGGGGAGTCCCAGTGGCTGCAAGTGCACCGTCTTCTCTTGCAGATCTTCAGGCTCCCCAATTTTGTCTTCTGCCAGCTTCCTGGGACTCTCTGATTCTAGAATGCACCAGGTACAGTCCTCGTCCTTGTGGAAGTCCTTCAGCCCAGTGGACACCACGCTGAGGCATGGGGCAGCCGTAGGAGGACCCTTGGATGGGCTCACCCGGGCCTCCCCACACCGTCAGCTCCTTGCTCTGCTAAATCAGCCCCCAGGACAGTCTCCACCTTCAGCTCACCACCCAGTCTGGTTTGGTTTCTTGGCCCTTCAGAAGCGTGAGGCTTTTCTGACCCTGAGTCTTCAGATGGTAGCCTGGTGTCGGGACCTCTGCGGCATGGGTGGTTGAGGGGAGGGAAGGTGTAATTAATCACTAGTTTCTTCTCCAGAAATGCTAATCGGAAAAAGCAATTAAAAGCAACTTTTTTCCCTTAGTAATCTGTGTTGAGAGCTGGTAATGAAGTTTAGGGCCGCTGTGACTCAATATTTCAGCTTCACCGACTCAAGTCAAAACAATCCAGGCCCAAGAGTTTGCTGGCAGCAGAGCTGGGCCCGGGCAGCAGCTGGGAGTCCTGGTGTCCCCCACGCCTCGCTGTCATCGCCCTGTTCTGTTTCCAGGGCAGAGAGAATAGCAATCCCTTCTGGTAGGGGAGGGTTGGGTGGCAAGGAGATGGGTCCTCTAGGACATCCCTGGGAGACCCTGATCCTAGAAATGCATCTATGGGGAAATGCTAGGACTGTGGTACAAGTAGCACCTCGTGTGATGCAGAACTGGGAAGGGCGGGCTCCAAAAGAGTCGGGGAGGAGGGATGGGGGTCTGGGGAGCCCCCCAGGGTTGGCCAGGACTCAGCCACCTAAGACTCAGAGCCAGAAGAGGTGGTGGTCCAGATCCTGACCTTTAACCTCTGGCCATTCATGTTTCATTTTCATCCATTCCTCAAGCGTTACTGATGCTTGATGACACTACAGACTGGACTGGAAGTGCAGCAGTGAACCAACAAGGCAAAAATTCCTGTCCTTGTGGCATTTGCATCTTTGTGGAGGGAGGCAAATGATAAATGCGATAAAGAAATAGAGTAGGTATTGGATGGCGATGTGTGTCTGGGAGAAAAGTGAAGCAGGTTTGGAGGATAGAATAGGGAGTGTGTGTGGCAGGGGGAGGTGGGCAGATGGTTTGTCATTTTAGGTGTGGCGTCTGGGGAAGGCATCAGTGGTTTGGTTGACTTTTGGGTAAGAACAGAAAGGAGCTTCCCTGGTGGCTCAGTGGTAAAGAATCTGCCTGCAGTGTGGGAGACTGGGGTTTGATTCCTGGGTCAGGAAGATCCCCTGAAGGAGGAAATGGTAACCCTCTCCAGTATTTTTGCCTGGGAAATCCCATGGACAGAGGAGCCTGGCAGGGTACAATTCATGGGGTCTAAAAGAGTCAGGCATGACTTAGTGTCTAAACAACAACAAGGACAGAAGGAAATGAGTGAGCAAGCCTCCCAGAGGCAAGAGCTCCCCTGGCATGTTGGAGGACAGCAGGGAGGCATGGTGTGACTGGAGTTGGGGAGATGCCCTGTGTGGTCAAGGGAGTTGACCGGGAGTCCCCCAGCTCCTGCAGGCGTTAAAGCCATTGTGAGAACTCAGGCTCTTGCCCCAAGTGGAATAAGAAGCTTTTTGAAGAGTTCTGAGTGACATGATCTGCTTAGGCACAAGCTCTTTAAAAGCAAGACCCACTCTGTCCGGCTCCTCCTCTCACGGGCCGTCTGCACCCAGATACAGGTGCATCCACACACACCTGCTCCGAGATGCTCTTCTGAGTGGACGGAGGAGTGAGAGGGAGCTGGGGGGGCTGTCAGCAATCACCCTGCCCTGGCCCTGTCTGCCGGCCCAGCCCCACCTCGGGGAGCAGTTCAGAAACTGGGTCTTGTCACTTTAAGCCGACCCCCACCCGGCTTCCCTGGCCTGCTTTATCTGAAGTCCAAGCGCATGTCGTTCCAGGACCAATCCGCTTTAGCTAATTAATAATCTGACAGGAGCCACCCAGGGGATTAGCCGCTGAGCTGAGCTCCACCAGGCCCCAGCAAATGAGCCCTGTACTCCTTGGGGACATGGAGGTGACTTTGGGGGGTGCAAGGAGAGGGGACCCCCTACAAGTGAGCCATGGCATTGGGCAGTGCAGTAGTAACCAGTGAGGGGAAAGGGTGGGCAGGGGACAGTTACGACCAGAGCTCCTTGAAAGGAGACAGCTGTCCCGAGACAGCAGGGGTCTCCTGTCCCTCAATGCCCCCCTCCTCCAGTCCTGCTCACCCACCAGAGACCCTCCCCACTGGTGGGGTGTTACCTGCTGAGGGGTGAGGTGCACACACGTATGCATGCTCAGTCGTGTCCGACTGTTTGCAACTGTATGATAGCCTTGCCCAGTTTAGCAAACAAAAATACAGGATGCCCAGTGAAATTGGAATTTCAGATAAACAGCAAATAATTTTCAGTGTGTGTGTGTTCTATGCAATGTTTGGGACATACACTGAAACAGTATTCGCTGTTTATCTGAAATTCAAATCTTGCTGATTGTCCTGTGTTTCCCCAGGCAACCCTGAACGTGGGGGGCCAGAGCCTGCAGAGCTCCCTTCCCAGAGCAGCCTGGAGCTCCCTCTGGAAGAGGCAGCACCCTTGGGGGGCTGCTTGGGGGCTTGGCAAACAGAGTGGAGCTGTGGCACTGTGACCTCCCCTGCCATGGTACCGGGAGAGGAGGACAAAGCTAAGGGCACCCACTGGCCGGTGTCTCCAGCCGTTGTTTGGGCCCAGGTGGCCCTTGATGAGTGGAGTCCACATTTCTTCCAAAGGCACCAGGGTCCCTGGGCTGGGGAGCAAGTCCCAGGGCCGCTTCTTCCAGGTGAAGCTGCCTCTGGGAGCAGTCTGTGGCCTCACCTGAGATCGAGGCCTGGAGTTTTGGGGTTTGCTGGGTTAGGTGGTCATCTGCTAAGGGTGTCTGCTCTGAGCCCAGAAAGAGGCCAGAGGGATGGCCCCCTGTGTGGGAAAGGGGCCAGCCCAGGTCAGACCCGAGGTCAGGAACAGACAGCCTGCCCTGCAGGGCCACCTCTGAGTTGCACAGTCTCTGGGCACTGATCAGAAATACCCATCCATCTATCCATCTCTCTGAGCTTTCCTGGAGATGGCCAAGTAACCCCTGGCCAACTTCTTAGGGAGGGGGTGCCATCCAGGGGGGCTGGGCTGCCTGGAATGTCACTCCAGAAGTGGGGAGGGGTGGTCTTTATTGGCAAATGTGATGGAGTCCTAATGCTCCCTCTCATGACCCCTCTCACCAGGGCTCCCTTCCCTGGGGTCAGAGAACTCAGTGCGGTGAGAGGGGCCTACTGCCAGCTGGTGGTAGTCCAGCCTCCTGCAGCCAAGGGGCCTGATGCCAGGGCACTGCCCCCGAGGTGGGAGCCCTCACTCTGCCTTGTCCTCCAGGAGTTAACAGCATCCTGAGCCTCCCCTGGCCCTGGACAGCCCTCCTCCCAGCCTTTCCCGGCACAGCCAGCTGGGGAGTCTTGCGGTGGGAGCAGAAGGGGGCTGGGGGTGCCGAGCTGGGGGGAACCTCTTCCGCTTCCCGAGTGCTCAGCCTCTTCCCCAGCGTGCCCAGCGGTTTGGCCCTGTTTCGCGAGCCGTCTGCTGCCCGTGCTGCCTCTGACCGACATCGTTAGCGTGGGTATTTATATTTCATTAACGACATTAAGCCCAAATGGCATTAAAAGCAAAGCTGGTGATAAATAGCTTATTAATAAACAGGGAGTGCTCCGTGTTGCCTGGCCTCTCCCAGCCCCGCGTTAACCCTTGCAGCCCCAGATAAAGATGTTTCACCCCAAAAACCATCCCCCGCTAAGATGGGCCCGGAGGAGCCCATCACGTGTCTATGTTCTCCTGGTAGCTGTGGGGTCAGTGCCTCTTAGATCCCAGGCAGGCCAGCCCTGGGTTACTCAGGCTCAAAACCAAACCAAACCCCTCCTAGCTTCCGATCAAATCAGTATTACACTTAGTTTTGATTCTGGGCATAAAAAATTCAGGAAATGTGGCTTCCCTGAGCTGTAAGCTCAGATCTTCCCCATGACTTTGTAACTCTGTCTGAAAGAAGGTTCCTAGAATATTTGGAATCAAAAAGAGTGATGCTTATGAAAATGAGAACAGTCATGATCCCAGTGAACGTGTCCGGAACGCAACTGTGAGCAGGTCTT